CGGCCCAGCGGGCCTATGCACGCACAGCCAGTGACCACGTGCAAACCAAAATGTCGTCGCGATTGATGCATCAAGTGGCCTCGCAAAAATGGCATGCTTTGTTTGGACTAGATCGCAAGCGCAGCATAGCCGAGTTGACCGCGAACCAAGAAGCATTGGAAGCTCGCTATCCCATCAGCTGGAACCCGGTGACTGACCTCTCACCCGAGGCAAACGGGCGTATCATCATGAACACGAGGGCCGAGCATGACGTACCCTACATGACCCAGCTGGCCAAGCAGGCGAGCATCTCGTGGGGCCACAGTTTCAACAGCCAAGAACAGTTGGACCTGGCCGCGGCCATTGACCAGCACCGGCCGGAGGATGGATGGCTGATTGTTGTTGCACCGACAGGCATGGGCAAAACATTTTGTACCCTGCCCAAGCTGGGCTGTCGCCCGCATGCCGGTACGGTGCTGTGGATTGTGCCGTTTGTGGCCGTGGCCAACGATTTATTGCGGCGACTTCAAGGCGCAGGTCACAGTGCCCAGCGATGGCTTGGTCCCTCTACACAGGTGGCAGATGGCCTGGACGTGCTCATCGTTACGACCGACATGTTTGTCCGCGTGGGATCTGAATCCCTACACGGGAAGGTCTGCTTTCAGCACATCCGCACCGTGGTGATGGACGAGGCGCACACCCTCATCTCGGATGCCAGCTACCGAGATGTGATGGACGAAGTCGCAGCCAGTGTGGGTTCTGGCGGATGGACCAACATCAAACGCGTGGCGTTGACGGGCACACTTTGCATCGGGGACCAGGAGCATCTGTTTCGGAAGCTGGGGCAGCAAGTCGGGGGCAAGGTGTACCGTCTGGAGACGATGCGTCGCGATCTGCAGCTGCGTGTGCTTCACGGAAACCAGCTAAACTTTTTGTCGCATGTGCAAGCCATTGTGGACACGCGGGTGATGCGTCAGGCGAATGGGGAGCGTGTGCACATGATGGTCTTTTGTGACACCGTGAACGAGGTGAAGCTGCTGTGTGACCAGCTGCACGCATACGGCTACGTGGCCTTGCCCTACTACACCGACCTGGAGGAGAAGGCGCAAAAGGACCATGTGGCACAGTGGCAACGGGGTGAATGCGACGTCATTGTGGCCACCAGCTGCCTCAGCACGGGTGTGGATCTGCTCACCATTCGCCACGTGTTGTGGTATGGCAACGGCTACAACGTCTATACGCTGGCCCAGGTACGTTGTTGCTCAAACGGTCGTGTAACTGTATGGAGTTGAAAACAAAAAAATATAATAAAAAAAAATCAATTGTTGGTTTTGCTGATGGTGTACATGTGCTTGGGCTAGGCATTTGGTCGGGCTGGTCGCGATAAACAGGGTGGAACTGCCGAGCTGTGGCTACCAGTGAGACGTGGGCCAGCACCAGGCATGGAAAAGTTTGTCGAGGGCAATGCGTGCCGCAGCTGGGCGCTCGGCAAGTTGCTAGATCCCCGCGCCG